GTCTCAGGGTGCAGGTCCATCATCTGATCTGGATACGGACCGGATCCGGCTGACTATGATAACCTTAGGACAAGAGTGCGACAAAAACATTGAAATAAGTAACAAGTATCTGTGTTGACTTTTTCTCACAGCACCTGTAATCACACAAGTACATTTTCATACAAAATTTCATGACATCTCATAGCAAAGATTACTGTTAAATGTAGGATGTAAAAGTAGGTTATTACACGTTAAAAGCTGAAGTGTGTATCATTGTCAGTATTTGACAAACTAGTTGGCTAAATCAAGTTTAAAACTCTTTAAAAAAAATTACTCTTTTAAAAAGTAATTTAATCTTACTTTTAAAGATGAAGTAGAATATCGAAGGTTGATGTAGAATCAAAAACCAGACTGGAGCACTTGAATGAGCTGTGAAGCTGCAACAGAACACACACACACACACACAATCTTAGTCTTTTTTCATTTAATATAAATGATCTGAAATAACATTAGGAGGAGAGGTGGGGAATATATTTGTAAAGAAAAATAGACACAAATTAGTAGGCCTATACCACAACCAAAGATTACTGTTAAATGTAGGATGTAAAAGTAGGTTTGTAAACATTTAACCTTAAATATTGATATGAATATTTTGACATAGCACATTTAGGATTACACGTTAAAAGCTGAAGTGTGGATCATTGTCAGTATTTGACAAACTAGTTTGCTAAATCAAATTTAAAACTCCATCTTACTTTTAAAGATGAAGTAGAATATCGAAGGCTGATGTAGAATCAAAAACCAGAATGGAGCACTTGAATGAGCTGTGAATATATGATTAAAATCCGGCTAGCCAACTAAACTACCCCTCTCACAGAAAGGAGGGAGATCCCATCCAAATCGGCCTATTATTAACTTACTCAAATCTATGATAATGCTAATAATGCTGAAGAGCTAACCTTAACTGGACATTCCACAACGCAATTTCAAAAATTAAAAACTACAACAAAGCAATTAACAACTTTATTAACGTTAATGTTACTGGCAACTGTACAAATAAAGCATATTTTAAAAGTATTCTTACCGAGTTCAGTCTTCTTCAACCTGGCCGGACACCGGCCGCAGCTTCTCCACTCTGAGGAGGATTTCTGAGACGGCACCGGTTAAAAAAAAAAAAAAAAAAAAGCGCGTTCGGATTGCTAATCCGTGCAGTGTCCATAATGAGTCCGCTAACTGACAATGCGCTGTCCGGAGGCGGGGCATATTCTGAGCGAATGACCGAACAGAGTCTGACAGTACAGCGGAGCTGCTGACTTGAGGGCGGATCCGCCCCGGAGTCTGTTGCTATCAGGGGAGTCCTCCATAAAATGCTCTGCACACATCTGAATATTTGGGTTGAACTGTTCTGGAACAGTGTTGTAAATACAATTTAACCACTGATTTCTAGTCGTGTCCTCTTTTGGAAGGCCAAACAAAGTTTCGCTTTCGCAACGAAACACACAGCGTCTTCACAACATGGCGGCGGCGGTGGCAGCAACAATAAAGTTACGCCTTCTTTCTTTGCATGAATATTTGGGCGGTATTATGCAAATCTTCCCACATTGTGACGTAGACATGTGGGGTCGTGTTTAAACGAGGCGTTTTAGGAGGGCGTGGACGAGTCTTAACTTCTATAAAGAATATCTCTTTGGGTTTGAGACTTTAGTCCTTGCAACTTTAGGGATCTTATCTATTCACGAACAGCTTGTAATACTCCAAACTAAAGAGAAAGGAAAACTTGAAATCGCGTCATATGACCTCTTTAATCCAACTGACTTGACATTTTGAAGTCAAGATGTAATGAACTTAGTTATAATAATTTTTTATATTAAAAACTTAACTGGAATACAATAGATTAGCACGTGTTATTGCATTATACCCTTTTGGAAAATCCAATTTAAGATATTTGCTTACAAGCTGGTTGACCAGCTATCATAGACCCAAAAACAGTTTAACCATCTTATAGTATGACCAACTCGTTGCTGGTTCAAGATGGTTTACCAGTTTACACCAGCTAATGACTTGAAACTGTCTTCCATGTTCACAGCTACTTACTTAAGCTGGATTTTCCTGCAGAGCAAGAATTCAGCCTACTGTACATATGCTTTAGAAGTAAAATCAGATGTATTACGTATTGTTGATGAACCATATGTACCCAATACAATGTATTTTTACTCCGGGTCAGGGGTTTTGCAGTGCAAACACAAAAAATAGTATGTTATATTAATAAGTAGTGTTAAAGCTGTATTCAAGCATGATGAAATAAAAATGGGAAATAACAGTGAATAAATATAGAGTTATACTGTAAACATATGATTTATTCATGTGCCACCATGATATCCGGGTTATTTATGTTACTTTTAGAACCAGGCAGACACACCAAGAGTTTTTAACATTAACCAGGTTAACAAGGTTAGATTAATCAGAGTTAATCACATTATTTGCCTTTGTAGTGAACAACTATACACATTCAGTCATTTTTCATACATTTACAGTACATTAATGCTTTTTGTAGAAGCGACTTACATTGCATTTAAGGTATACATTTTATTAGTTCATGCATTTCCTAGGAATCAAACCCATGATATTGACATTGCTAGCGCCATGCCCTACTGTTTAAACTACAGAAATTTGTAATGTCAATGAAGAAATCATTGAGCCTTCACTCTCAGCTCTTTCTTGTTGCCATAGGCTTTCTGAGAAGTGCCTATAGCTGACAACATTCCACCGCCTTTAACAATGCGAACCCACTCTGCAAGTCCAAAGACACATCGATGAGAAAACAGAAAGAACATATGTATTAGTCGTTAGACAGGAGTGGCTCGGAGGCCTTTGTTATTGTCAGCTGTACATATGCTTTCAAAACGCTCACAGTGGTTTCTCTAGATTTCCTATGTGCTTAAGGCTTTCAACCGTCACATTCATGGCTAGGAGTGTCAAAGAAGCCCAGCCAGGAGAAACAGAGGATATGTAGTTGACGAGAAAAGAACATAATGGAAGGGTGAGTGTATGTATTCTTTTTGCAAATGTTTGCAAAAAGGGTCCTCATCATCACATTATTGGGGTGTATGTATTTATTCCATTAAAATTAAATGATTATTGAGATTAGTCCCTTTTTGCAGCAGTTTAACAATTCTTACGCACAGTCATAACCCTTATACTAGTGGTGACGCTACTATAGCTGCTGTAGATAAACGAACTAACAGAGATGCTATTTTGTTCCTTAGCTCCTATTAGCTCCTTGTTCTGGATTTATAGACATTCTAGGGTAATGTAAGTCTGGGGTAAAGTAGACTAGGGCAAGGGTGGAAATCTATTTTGACCTACGGACGTGTTCGTGCCCTGATTGCTTCTCGGAGGACATGGTGCTTTGAAATGTTAGATGTGGACCCTTACATCACAGTAGCGGGTGAACTGTGTTCATGTGCTTGTCAACACGGGCTGAGAGTCGCGTCTTTGACCCTCAAAGTCAGCTGTTATACACTAACGTTCAGAAAAATCTTTTATTACAATATAATACTTCTGATCAGTTTATTGCATGCTTGCTGACATTTTTTTTTTAATTATTTTAAATAAATAAAATCTTACTGCCCCCAAACTTTTGAACGGTAATGCACACATACAGTGTTACATAGTTGGACATATGACAGAGTATTTCTGCTTCAAAGACACTCCTTCAGGGTTTGTATACATTTCGGAAAGTGTTTTTTTTATTTTTATTAATCAACCAATGAATCAACAGATACAAATACAATATACTGGAACAGAACATCAAAAAATATAACAGAACAAAGAATAAAAATAACAGCCAGGGGAAAGAAAACCCAATTTTAACCTAAATAAAGCAATACATTAAAGGATAATAAATAATACATATGAAACTTAAAAGGGGGGAAAAACATATGTAGTAATAATAAAAATAACAATAGAATATCAAGTAAACAAATGAATAAATAAATAAAAACAAAGTAATCATTTTAAAGGAGAATCCTGAAAAAGGCGCAACAAGTCAGTGTTTTCCTAGTATTTTTCAATAGAGAGAGCGTTTCAAAATATTGTTGCTGCTCTTTAAAAAAAACACCTTAAAATGTGGCTTATTATTGGAGAATTACACTTGTGGATATAATATTTGACTAGAAGAAGTAATACAATTATAATATAAAACTCTTTATCAGTATTTTTATCTGTATCAACAAAACCAAACAACACATCTTTCCAAAACAAAGAAAATTGAGAGTACACAAAGTTTTGGAAATAGTTTTTTTTTTTTTTTAAGAGTATGGCCCTGTATGACATCATAAAGGGCAGGATTCCTTGTATGGACACTTCTCCAGGAAGAGCGCGCGCACTCATCAACCAGAGCAAAAGCAAGAGCACGCCCATCAACGTGCTTCATTCGGGTTACGGAAGTCTTCTGGATCAAATATATATGGCTGGATATGATTTTTAGCCATAGCCAATTTAAGTCAATAAAGTTTTTGTTCCTGTTTCATTTATGTCAATGTCACAGTTTGCAGGCGATCGCTACGCAAAAGCTGTTTTCGGAGAGAAGCGGTACAACTGTATCTGTCTTTTATAAATCTGATAAAACTAAAGACTCCAGAGATATGAAGGATGCAGTACTACTATAGGTACTCAAGATTAACATAAGATGAAACTATGTGTGTTATGTCTGCTTTAATGTGTAGGTTTATCAAAAGGATAAGTTACTATAAAAGATATTTCAGTGACTGATCATTTTGTTAGCAAAAGAAATGCATGAAGATGGAAAACCTAATACAGTTGTTTTGGTGATGAGGCTCCTAAATCTCTTCAGGCAGCTCCAATTGTGTCAATCTTCTGTGTGATCGTAACTCATTTCATTCAGAGAAATCCATGTGGGGCATTGCTTTTATAGGATGACATATTAAAGAGACTTTTTTTAGATTCACCCTGAAGGCATTCTATCATGAAGGCAGTTCTACTGTCTTTCAGTGAAACTGTAATGGCATCAGCATTGATATATTGTAGGCTTTAGTAGAAAGTCTTCATCATTGCAGCCATTTTAAGGCATCGCTGTATTGAAATCTCTCAAAGCTTCTTTTTGATCTTTTTCTGCACAATTAATTTGGCTCAAAATTCCCTTGACACTGACATGACCCACATTGATATCTCAGTCAGTAAATATAAAGTTGTAGTTATTTATCTTCATTATTTATTTATTTTTCACTGCTGTTCAAAAGTTTGGTTGATTTTTTTTTTTTAAATAATTCTCACCAAGGCTGCATTTCTTTTATCAAAAATAGAGTAAAAACAGTAATATGTTGAAATATTAATTAAATTTTTAAATAACTGTTTGTTAATAACTGATGGCAAAGCTGAATTTTCAACAGCAATTATGCCAGTCTTCAGTGTCACATGATCCTTCAGAAATCATTCTAAAATGCTGATTTGCTGCTCAAGAAACATTTCTTCTTATTACCAATATTGAAAACTGCTTAATATTTTGGTGGAAACTTTTATACATTTTTTGATGAATAAAAAGTTCAAAAGAACAGCATTTATTTGTCTCTACTGTCACTTTTGATCGATTAAATGCATCCTTTCTGAATAAAAGTATTAATTAAAAAAAAAAAATCTCCAAACTTCTGAACGTTATCTAAAAATATTGTCTTTTTTTATTTTTCAACATTTTTCTTTTTTGGTAAATTGTCTTTAAACTGATGTGCTAATGTAGTACATTATGCAGCATGGCACAAAAACAAGCAGTGTCTGAAGTTACAAGTGCTTTAGATAATGAACACACAAGCAGGTGTGTGAGAGGAGGCTGCCAGGCTTGGCTATGAACTGTGCGTGCATGTGTGAGAGAGCGTGGTCATTGCCACTTCACTGCTCTAATAGAAGCATTGATGTGCCCATCTTACTGTGATTTATTATGGTAAATTATAGAATGTTATTGATAATCAGATGTACTGTAAATTTATAGTAGTCTTAAAATCTGAATCTAAACAAGCTTTTTTTTATTTGAAACTCACACACACTCAAGCACACTTCACCCCTGGCCGTGCAACAGGTGGCCCATTTGGGCTGATAGATTTAATGACACTCAGAGCCTCTTTCTGGGCAGGCTGCGGTCTGTGCAGAAGGAGTTTTGTCAAAGCTTGGAGAGAGGCTGATCTTTGTGGCAATAAACGGTTCCTGCTGGATTCAATCGTTGATAATCCAAGTAATCCCATAAACGAGCAGACTCCTCCCTGTGGATCCTCCCCCCTACAGCCGTCCTGTTTCACTCATATCCCATCTGTTCCATCAGCAGAGTGAGTCTGTGTTCGGACAGGCGCTTGGTGAGGTTTGGACGAGTGGTGCTCGCAGTCATGTGGCATCCGGCAGCGTGGCCTCTTCACGGTCAGAGTCACGGCAGAGAGGACAGTCACTACAACACCCGTGAGTATCTGATAATAAGATACTCTTGTAATACTTAAGTTCACAGGAACAACGTGGCTGATGCATCCTAAGGGAAGATGAGAGAATCGTGCTGTTGGAAATAACTTGGAAAAAAATGTGTTTGACTGATTTCATAATCTGATTAGACTGTACATGGATACGTGCATTTTAGAGATGTGTTGATATGTTGTGTGGTTTATTGTCATGAGTAAAGAAGCTGTTGTTATTTCTAAGCAAGGGAATACACGACTCACATTCATAACTGAAATTGGTTTGTTTTTACATTACTAAATGGAATTAGAAAAATTATTATTATTTTCAAACAGGTTTCCGGTTCTCTTTGTCTGCCATTGATTGGACAAATGGATAGTCCCACCCCAAATTCATGTTGGAGACATGAGTATATTTTAACATTGAAAGAATTCTACAAAATGTAACCCATAAAAAATACTTCCATTCATGTAACTAATAGTCATGTTGATTCAGTCATATTTAATAATATTTTACTTAAAGCCAATTATCATATGAATAATATATTTATATACACTACCACTCAAAAGTTTGGGATCAGTAAGACTTGTAATGTTTTTTAAAGAAGTCTCTTATGCTCTTCAAGGCTGCATTTATTTGATCAAAATTACAGAAAAAAAACAGTAATCTTGCAAAATGTTATTACATTATATATATATACATTCAAATATAATTTATTCCTGTGATGCAGCGCTGAATTTTCACCATCATTACTCCGGTCTTCAGTGTCACATGATCCTTCAGAAATCATTCTAATATGCTGATTTATTATCAGTGCTGGAAACTGTTGTGCTGCTTAATATTTTTTTTGGAACCTGTGATACTTTTTTTCAGGATTCTTTGATGAATAAAAAGTTAAAAAGAAGAGCATTTATTTAAAATAGAAATATTTTCTAACAATATACACTACCGTTCAAAAGTTTGGGGTCAGTCAATTTTTCTTTCTTTTTTTTTATTATTCAGCAAGGATGTGTTAAATTGAAGAAGTGATAGCAAAGATTTATATTGTTAGAAAAGATTTCTGTTTTGAATAAATGCTGTTCTTTTTCACTTTTTATTCATCAAATTCATTCTAATAATAAATCAGCGTATTAGAATGATTTCTGAAGGATCATGTGACTTTACTAGAGTAATGGCTGATGGAAATTCAGCTTTGCATCACAGAAATTAATTATATTTTAAAGTATATTAAAATAGAAACCATTATTTTATAGTGTAATAATAACATTTTGCTAGATTACTGTTTTTTTTTCTGTAATTTTGATCAAATAAATGCAGCCTTGATGAGCATAAGAGGCTTCTTTAAAAAACATTACAAGTCTTACTGATCCCAAACTTTTGAGCGGTAGTGTTATGTTTTTTTTTACGGTGCACATGGTGAAGGTTTGCTTGTTTTTTATTTTATTTTATTGTATTAAACACTACAGTGTTTTTGAAAGTCTTATGATCACCAAGACTGCATTTATAATTTATTTGATCAAAAATACAGTAAAAAATAATATTGTAAAATATTATTGTAATTTAAAATTACAATATTTTTTAAATATTTACAATATTTTTTAAATATTTAAACATCTAATTTATTCCTGTGATGTTAAAGCTGTTGATTTTACACTATTGATTAGACAGTTGCTTGGCATGTCATCATGGCTTGTGTGTAATTAATCTGTAACCTCTGCTCTCAGCCTTTGGCAGTGAGAGTACTTGGCAAAGCTATGTTCTCTAATGCTGTTCAGCTGTTATAGATCAGGGTAAGGTGGCACTGGAGTATTATGGATATTTTAGGAAGGTCTGCTTGGATCAATCTATTTCAGTATATCCCTATATTTCTCACACACTCACTGTACTTCACCCTCTCGCTTCTTTGCTTTTCTTCTGTTTCTCTCTGACAATAGTTCTGTTGAGGGGTGTTTGTGTGGGTGGGTGGGTATAAATACTTGGACTGACAAAGACAAACTCCCATTTGATCGCATAAGAGAAAGCAGTGACAGAAGTTGTTGTCGCCGATTGACGGTCGCTCTCTGTTGTTCTTTCTCTTTCTGTTTCTATCTTTCTTTGAGAGGTGTCAATGTTGACGAAACAAATAAAACTTGCACAACACCTACATAGTAAGTGAGCCTGCATGGAAGTTTGCATGTATATCTCATTCTTCAAATTAATATTACGTATAAGATTACATTAACCTTGGAGTACATCTAGGTGTCTTTAATATACCATATATATGATGTTTTGGAAGGTACAGCTGAAACATACATTACAAGTATGCGGACATGCCTTAACGGGTTTGTCTAGGCCTCTTAATTCTAGTGATGACAAATCTTAAAGGGATAGTTCACCCAAAAATGTAATTTCTGTCATCATTTTCTCACCCTAATGTCTTTCTAAAGTTGTATAACTTTCTTTTTTCTGTGGAACACAGAAGAAACTGTATTTGACCATATTGTGAATGTCAAAACAACACTGGACCCCGTTGACTTTCATTGTATGGACAAAAAAAAAATCACCAGTACCTGACCTCATTGATGCTTGTGATTCCCTGTAGTTTCGTTCCAAGGTATGTGAACACCTTTCCAGAAGAGTGGAAACCGTTAGGGAGAACCAGCATTAGTGCCTGGTTTTGTGATTAAGAAACACATACGGGTGTGGTGTATATACAGTGCACAGCATAAATGAGTACACCCCCTCTGAAACTTAACAAATTCAGCAATTACTCTTTGCTTAGAAGACATGTTTTGGTTTTTTAGAGATATAATATTCCAGCAAGTCTGCTTGATCAGTTACCAAAGAAGAATGTTCAAATTATTCAAGAAAATACCATTTTCTTATCAAAGTGATAAAATGTTGTGTTGCAAAAATGAGTACACCCTCCTGAAAGTTGATAAACAAATAAATTCTGGTGTAAAGGTTAAGGCAAGTATTGATCAACAGGTAAGTATGTTGAACCAAAACTTAAAGGCAAGTAATTTCTTGATAATTAAGTGTTATATGGCCCATTGAATCATACTCAGACTTAATGCTGACAACAATGAAACCACTTGAGAGAGAACTGTCAGGAGATTTATTTATTAGCATAAAAGAGGACAATGGTACAAGAGGAATACCAAATTATTGTTTTAAGTGTGAAAATATAGCCAAAGTAACACAGAAATTCAAAAACTAGTGAACTTGTGAAAAGGCCCCTGAAATAATCAGGTCTTCACTTTAAGCTTTAATTTAGTGATGAGTGCGTTTTTGCTAGAAAAAAAGCAGGAGAAACACTGTGAAAGTGTCTCAGAGCTGGCAAAAGCTGTGAAAAGAGTGACTTTATCTCACAGAGTAAGATGCTGCAGCATGCAGAAGTGACATGCATGGTTGTTTATCCACGCCAGAACTACCGACTGTAGCCAAAGCACAATAAACTCATTTAGCTTTTTCCAAGGCCCATATTTACAATATTTTACAGATATTAATGGCATGTATTTCTCTGTTTTTATTAAGAATATGTTTAATAGATTTCAATTTTGCCATCTTTCTATTAATTATATTAGTGATCATTAAGAAAATACATCTTTTATATTTAATCAGAGGGGGTGTACTCTTTTATACTGTGCACTGTATGCTTTAACCATATGGTGTGTTTAATCCATAGCATGCTTGCGTTTTCTTTGGATAATTTCTGTATAAGTTACTTGCAGGCAAGAGCATGTTGTTAGGCAATATGGCGGATGTCAACAGTGGCAATGGTATTGTTTGGAGCAAACTGCATTATTGTGTGTGCTTGTGCTTTTTGTTCCAAAAAATTGCATTCAGAAAGTTATTTTTGTACTGCCTATAGTTTTCGTTTCACCTGGAAACTGCGTTTTTGGAGTTATGCAAAAATGTCGGCAGTGGCATATTTTTCCAGTGAGCCTGGGTTGTGATTGGCAGTAGTCTATAGGGTCAATATTAAGAAAAATTTATTTTGAGGGTTTTTGTTCATTGCTGAGATTATCTAGACAGTCTTTTAAGTATGCACAGTATGTTTGATATAAACACTACAGATAGAGCCTCCCTCCTCTTAATTTTTTATCCTTCCTTTTACCAGTTTTCTTTTATTTTTTTTCTTCATCTCCCTCTTTTGTTGAGGTTACTCATGGTTATGTGTAGGGCTGACAACACTGTGGTTTCTCACATTCTGCTGTCTTATGCTGTTAGATCCCATTTGTAGCCTAACATCTAGTCTCCTTTGGTAACACTTTTTAGTGTGCAGTTGCTGCCTTAAGGAACTTTTTAAAGTGCTTTCTTGTAACACATTAAATTGGTTTAAATGTTACCACATTTTAAGGTTACATGACAAGGTTTCCCTATCAAGAGGCTTCTCTGAGTAAAGCTGAAAGGATCAATTGTCTTTTTATGTTTTGATTGAGACAGCTGGTTTCAAATATCCCAAAACAGCTTGTTTATTCTGAAAGTTGTGAGTGGCGTTCACATGTATTGGGGTGGATGTTTGTGATTTTATCTATTTCTACTTCTCTCTTGCCTCTCTTGGAAGAAACTTTACATTGATCCTCTGTTAAACCCTCAAGCTACGAACAAGCTCAGTTTCAGGAATTTTGGAACAGAAATTGTTGTTGTCTCAGTTAATTTGCCTGATAGTTACGGTAGCTAGTCTGACCCTTAATCAGTTTTTTCTTACAGATTCAGTTTTTTTTTTTTTTGTGCAACAGGAGAGAATACTATACCCCACTGTTCAAAAGTTTGGGTTCAGTAAGATATTTTTTTATGGAATTTATAATTTTATTTAGCAAGGATACATTAAGTTGATCAAAAGTTACAGTAAACACTTTTACATTTGTTACAAAAAATATTCATCATTTCCACAAAATTAAACAGCACAACTGTTTTCAACATTGATAATAATAAGAGATGTTTCTCGAGTTAGCTTGGCCATCACAGTAATAAATTACATTTTGAAATACATTCAAATAAAATTTTTTAAATTGGAATAATAT